GTGTGTGTGTGTGTGTGTGTGTGTGTGTGTGTGTGTGAGAGAGCGAGTGACCGTCTGTGCCAAAGACTTACTCAATGAGATGAGATGCTAGTGTGACTAATCTCATGCTTCACCTGTACAAAATCTGTGCTGTTAGTCCTTTTATCAGTTTATGGTTTTTTAGTTTTTATTTTGTATAATTATTATTTATTATTAAACTTACTATCTTTTGCTGTATTTAAGATGTTTAAAATATTTTATATATATTTTAACGTTTATTATTATTATTATTATTATTATTATCATCATTAATTGATTTATTTTTATTTTATTTTTATTTAAACTTAAATATTAAATATTTGTATTATTAAAAATATAAAATAATACAATGTATAACATTTTTTAATTTATTTCAGATATTTTAATTATTATTATTATTAAATAAATTGGCTTAAATTTACATATTTTTATTAAAATATTAAATTATTACATTTTTATATTTTGTAATTACAGATATTACATTTTTTATATTTTATTATTATTTTTATTATTATTATTCATTGATATATTATTTATCTTATTTTTTATTTAGATTTAAATATTGCATTATCTGTTGTTATATGTGTTATATGTTAGATATTTTAAATATTTTGTTTCATATATATTTTCTAATTATTATTATTAGTAGTAGTATTAATTGAATTATTTATTCTTTTACTATTTTTTATTATTTTGATTTAAATATTAAACGTCAGCATATATAACCTTGCTTTTTTAAAAATGTATAGAAAAAGCACACTTCTCATGTGTCTTCACCGGATGCGGTCTTGTTTTCATAGACGGCTTGTGTTTGCTCACTCGCTGTAGTTTTGACGTGGCAGTCAACAGCAGATCAAAGAAAGCTGGTAAAGCGTCATCTTGTGTCTGAGAGCGAGCGCCTTCCCTCTCATGTGGTTTCACTGATCCCATAAACGTAAACCGTGTGTCCACATGCTGAGACTCGCATAAACAAGCGTTCTGCGTGAAATTCTGACCACAGTAGCTCGTTCTGCGCAGCTTTAGATGGATCGTGTTGAATGTCAACATGAGGTTTGTAAAGGCTTTGAGGTCTGATGTAAATCCTGGAGGTTTTGTAACGGGTCAAAATATTTCTGTGAAATAATTGCTCGTGTCGTCTCTGCGTTCGTGCTTGTTTTGGATGCGTCCTTCACAATATATTATTATGAGCTTCCTGGTTCCAGTGATAGTGAAGTCAACAGGAGAAATCCCTGCGACGCTGATGGTCTATCCAGAGATCCTCTCACCCAAAATCACATCACTTACACTTGATGCTGTTTCAAAACCCCTGTGACTTTGTTTCTTCTGTGAAACTCAAAAGGAGATGTTTAGTTGAATGTTCACGCTGCTCTTTTCATAAAGTGTATATAGATGCCGTCGAAAAAATTTGGTGTAGAAACTGTTTTCACTCAGAAATTGCTAGTAAATCTCACAATTACAAAGACACAAAGTAACATACTGAATTAAACGTGAAATTTTAAAGACTAAAATAGTAGTATTTTCAACCATTTTTACTGTGTGGGTTTGAGATATTTTTATGATGTCTTCTGTAATTTTTGGGACTTGGATGCTTTTGTTGTATGAACGGAAGCAGCTTTAAAATTGAGCTGTTCATCTTCTGTTGTGTTTTCTGTTGTGATGCGTTTTTATTTTGATAATGTTTTATTTTAATATTTTACAATTTATTAGTTTTATTTATATTTTTTATTATATATATATTTTTTTTTTTTTACTATATTTTTGTTATTTTATTAATAATTTTTTTATTTAAAATTTAGAATTTACATTTTTACAATTCAATTATTTATTACCAAGTGTTGTATTTAGACTACTGTAAAAGTATTTTTTCAGTTTTACATTTTTATGATTCAATTACCTATTAGTAAGTGTTTTTAGATTTTTTTTTTTTTCAAATTAT